TTGTTGAATTTCTATTAATATGTACATTAGACAATTACACTATCGTGTATGCTCTTCATATACACATATTTTCAATATATTCACATCTTCATATAACTCATTCGTATATATGTTCAGTAACTGTGAACATATATGTAATAGAGAAAATTAACTGAATGTGATATACGTAAAAAGTATGGATAAGTTGTATCAAATGATTGATGATGAAAAAGAAATTATAAGTAGAGAAATAACAAATTATAGGTTAAAAACCATACGAGTTGGGTTGGGTTGCACTTTGGTTCGGATTAGGTTGGATTAAGATTTTTCAAACAACAAATATTAGATTGGATTGTTCAAATATCTTCAATCCAATCAACTCAACTCATGAACACTTCTAATAAGAATCAAAAAATTTACTCAAAGAACTTTTTTTTAATGATTTTACTCAAAATTTTATATCTTACTTTTAAAATAGGTTTTGAGCAAAAAGGGGCGGGAAATAGAGCGGACCAATTCGTTACTTTTTGAGAAACAAAGGGACCAAAGTTGGATATTCGGCAAATATTTTCTACTTTTGCTGGAAAATGATATTATTAAAAATAAAATTAATAAAAAACGGCTTCTTTTTACCAATCCATTTGAAAATATGAAAAAGACCTTTCCACTTTTGCTTTGTCTTTTTCTTTTTTTAATACAAAAACATTTATTATCGAATACGGAAGGCAAGAAAATAAAAGAAAAAAATTATGTATTTTAAATAACAAATTTTATAGAATGCATAAAATGTCTAAGTGTTTTAATATAATATTTAGTTGAACATAAATTTATATGACTGAATTATAAAATGTCATATTTAAAAGCGTTACAATAGGTTTATATCACAATTTTAAACGTTTTAACAAGTTGTTTATTACACTTTTAAAATAAAGTATTATATTAGTTATTATTAGACACATTTGAGAAGTATTCTATCAACCCATCTTTTTATATGATATTTTTTCAAACAATGTGGTATAAAATAGCTAATATAACACTTTATTTTAAAGACGTCATAAAAACTTGTTAAAACATTAAAAACAATGTTTTATAAAGTTTTTTTTATTAACCTGGATATCCAACCCGCTATGCGAGCCGACTAATCTTAGGACAACCACCTGCTTTGCAGATAGCCCGGAGTCACCGCATTTGAACCTTCGTGGCCACAAGGGGATTTTTATTTCCCATTGAATTTGAACATGAGACCTCCTGGTATTTTTGACTTTTGGAGTCAAATTCAAACCAATCAGGCACCATCCTTGTGGTTAATGTTTTATAAAGTTATCGTAACAGTTTTAGATTTGATATTTTTTATTTTGGTTTTATCAACTGAAGTTCTATAAAATATTTTATTAGAATGTTTAGACATTTAAAACATCGTATAAAACTATTTTTATTAGTGATTTATATAATATTAATAATATTTTATATTATTCTTCCTCCTTAATATAAGTGCAATCGTGTTGTTTTTGAAGTGTGGATGATGACTTAATAATTAAGGAACCAAGAATACGTTCTTTTCAAGCTTTCTTATATGTTAACCGGATAAATGGTAATAAAAGTTAATATATCATAGATTTAAATTCAAGGAGCAATAAAAATCTTTTTGTGATCACGAATGTTCAAATGCGATGACTCCAGGCTATCTGCAAAGCAGATGGTCGTTCTGGGATTAGTCGGCTCGCATAGCGGGTTGCATATCTAGATTAATAAAAAAAAAGTTAATATATCTATATTATATTATAAATTATTTGACAAAAAAATTTAAAAACATTTTTTTTACATGAAATATTGTGTATTGATACATATTACTTAAGATTCAATATTACAAATAAATAACGCATAAATACAACTTATTAAAGTTTCATGTTTGAATTTGTGTAACTAATTACAGATAAACATAATTAAATACAAAATAAAATATTTCATTTTAAATATAAAAAATCTAAAATATAATTAGAATAATCATTGTGTTCTAATAGAATACTTAATTATTATCTTTATAAAAAAGTTATATCATAAAATAAAAAATAAATTACTTCATTATTAAACAAAAATTATATTATAATAAAAAAATTGAGTTAAGAAAATTACACAAAAAAACAAGAACTTTAAAATAGTTAATTTGATACTAATTGATATTTTTTTTTCAAAACTTTTTATGATATTTTCAAGTTTATATTTTATCAAAAAATAAAATATTGTCGTTTTCACAAAACCACATAAAACCGTATTATAACAATGATATGAGACTTTTATAGAACGAAACATTAAAAAAGAGATATACCTCGCTGCATTGCACAAATATTCTTCTAGTTTGTTTAATTCTTATTTTAGATAATATACTCTTAAAAAAATTATTTTAATGCTTAATATTTGTCATCTTAAACATTAAATACTTTGGTAAAAAGTTTAACCATTACTCGGTTATTATATTGATGTGACAAATGATTTTACGTACACGTTATTGTTATTTGATGAATGACATGGATTTTTTTTCTTAAAAATAAACACAAAATATTTATTTATTTTTAAGTAGAGTTTTAGATTTAAATTTGAAATTTGGGATCATCGATCTTCCCATCCCCGTTGTTGAACTGAAATTTGCTATTTTTGATAATTGTATGTATCACGATTAACTTCTATACGTTAATTAGTAATCTGACGTCTAAAGTTTTTAGAATGGTTTAAAGTTTAATTCGGTAAAGTGTTGATATTTAGAAAAAAAAGAAATTCAATCATTTTTCATAGTAAGTGGTTTTTAGGATAACGATAATAATAACATATTTTAGTGGTCGTTTATCAAACACTTATCTGATAATCGTTTATTGGTAAAATTTAATATTATCACATACTTAACGAGTAAGATTTTAATTCATCAGAACGGCTTCATATGCAACAATTTACCTAATCAACTCTAAACATGGTAAGAATCAATCATCTTAATCATTTACCGAGTAAGACTCTCTATCATTGCCTTCATTTTTACCAAATAAAATTATTGATCTTTACCATATTCATCCGATAAGATAATGTGACTTGATAAACACTTAGGGGTTGTTGAATGATTTAGTATAAAATGATTAAGTTGTCAGAATAATTAAGAGACTATCATGATATAATGTAAAAATGGAATATAATTGTTTGGTAATTGCTTGCAATTAATTAGGGTGCTGAATTGTTTAATAGAGACTCATGACACAAAATCATTCATAGAGTTTTAGAACTATTAAGAGACATATTTTTTTTTGCCAAATAAGATTTACCTCTTAACAATTCAGATGATCCTTATTAATGAAACTATTAAGAGGTAAACAAACAACCCCTTTATTTGTATAAAATATTTGACAAATGATCTCTTATGCGATTAAAACATTTAACCGGAAAAAAAAAAATTTGAAAATGTATTTTTAAAGTAGAGAATATAATTATTTAAATTTAGAGAATATTTTTAATAGTTATTTGAGGTTAAAGAAGTAATTTTCTTTAACTTCCTTTTTGAAGTGTATGCCGGATGGGCATAGAAATGACCAACGCATGTCACATGGGTAGTGCCAGGTGAAGACGTCTATTTAATATAATACCCTTGCATATTCAAAATCGATGAAAATATTGCTACGCGCTCACGCGCCCACCACTGCCACCTTCTTCTTCTTCTCTTCTTCCCTTCTTTTCTTCCTCCTATAATTATATTCTCTTGCACGTTACGTTATACCATCTCTAACTTATGCAGTAAGAAAATCAAAAATATTAAGAGATTATTTTGTATTTGTTAAATGGTTTAACATAAAATGATTAAGATTCTCTTATGATATAATGTAAAATAAAATATAATTTTTTGATGATTATACAAATGAAATTAGAATACTGAATGATTAAGAAAAACTCAAGATACAAAATCATTCAAAAAAATTTAAAACCATCAAAAGAATCTAATGAACCCTTTAACATAAAAAACTCAACTCCAACCTTATTCTAATCACGTTAAAATAATATATTTAATCTATTGTTAAGTTATTTTTAATAACAAAATTATAATCTATGAATATATGTTATAATAGAAGGGTACTTGCACAATTCAATGGGATAAATCTCGATTTTAAAATTTTGATTTTATTCTGTCTCCGTTGATGTTATAATATGATTATATGCGATATAGAAAAAACGATAATGTTTTTATTTTTTGAATAAAATATAAATTTAAAAGTTTCATAAAATTTTTAAAAAAAAATACATCAATTTTAGTATCAAATTAAATATTTAAAAATTCTTGTTTTCTTTATGTAATTTCTTTATAATTTTATTTAGATTTAATAATGAAGTCGTTTATTTTTGGTTTAATAATATAATTTTTTTTATAAAGATAACAATTAGTATTTTTTTTTTGAATTCAATGATTATTCTAAATATATTTTAGATTTTTTATATTTAAAATGAGATACCTATTCCGGATTTGATTATGTTTTTTTATACAGTTAGTTACATGAATTTAAACACCGAGCTTCAATAAGTTGTACATATGCAAAATGTATTGTTAATCTTGAATTTAAAGTAATATACATCAATAAACAGTATTTAATGCATAAAAAATGATTTTTAAGAGTTTTTGTTAAATGTTTTTTTGATATAGTATAAACAATAATTAATTTAGACTTGTTAAAATAAAAACAACAATTTTTTATTTAGTAAATTTATTTAATAAAAAGTTGTTAAAAGAAAAAACAAATTTATAGTATGGTTTTTTAATATATAACATATATTAATAACAATTTAAATAACTAACATCAAAAACTAAAACAAAACTGAATTATATTTAAAAATAACTCACAATTATAATTTAAATAATAATATTTATATTAATTTGTGGTGGGACTCCATGATTTCCCTGTGAAATTTGGCTATTAAGCGTTACAACCCTCCGAAATCTCTCTCCCTCTAAAATTTCTCAAAATCAGATATTTGTAAAGTTTGTGTAGATCCATATGACCACCCGGCAGCGTCCTCCGCCGTCAGCACCGTCGCGTCGTCCACCGGAACCCGACCCATCTGATAAATCCATTTACAACATCATCCCAATTAATAACCTTCTAGCTGACCACCCATCTCTTAGTTATCCCGAAGTACGCGCCGCCACAGCCGCTCTACGCGCCGTTGGTGACCTCCGTAAACCACCCTTTGTTCCATGGCAGCAACACTACGACCTTATGGACTGGCTCGGTGCCTTCTTCGGTTTCCAAGACGCCAATGTCTCAAACCAACGCGAACACCTAGTCCTCCATCTCTCCAACGCCCAGATGCGACTCGAGCCACCGCCGGACAACGTCGACACCCTCGATCCCTCCGTCCTCCGCCATTTCCGACGTAAACTCCTCAGCAACTACACACACTGGTGCTCCTTCCTCGGCCGTAAATCCAACATCTGGATCTCCGACTCACGCCGCGGATTCTCCGCCACCGACCACCGTCGAGAGCTCCTCTACGTGGCTCTTTATCTACTTATCTGGGGTGAGTCCGCCAATCTACGATTTATACCTGAATGTATTTGTTACATATTTCATCATATGGCTATGGAATTGAATAGAATACTAGAAGATTACATCGATGAGAACACAGGTAGACCTGCGTTACCCTCCATATCTGGAGAAAATGCATTTCTAAATCGTATTGTTACACCCATTTATGAGACTGTTAAGGCCGAGGTAGAAAACAGTAGAAATGGGACTGCACCCCATTCGGATTGGCGAAATTATGATGACATTAACGAGTATTTTTGGAGCAGAAGGTGTTTCGATAAATTGAAATGGCCAATTGATATTGGGAGCAACTTTTTCGTGACAACCAGTAGAGGGAAAAGGGTTGGGAAGACGGGTTTTGTGGAGCAGAGATCGTTCTTAAACTTGTTTAGAAGCTTCGATAAGCTCTGGATTATGTTAATTCTGTTTCTACAGGCTGCAATTATAGTTGCTTGGAAAGAAAGAACATATTATCCATGGGAGGCATTAGGGGATAAAAATGTTCAAGTTAGGGTTTTAACTGTTTTCATAACATGGAGTGTATTACGATTCGTAAAATCTCTTCTCGATGCTGGAATGCAATATAAATTAGTTTCTAGAGAGACTTTATGGCTTGGTGTGAGAATGGTGTTGAAGGCTGTCATTTCTGCCGTTTGGATCATTGTTTTCGTGGTGTTTTATGTTCGGATCTGGACTCAGAAGAACAACGATCAGCGGTGGTCTGCTGCTGCCAATCGGAAAGTGGTGACTTTTCTTGAGGTTTCTTTGGTGTTCATGATCCCTGAGCTTTTAGCATTAGCCCTTTTCATTCTGCCATGGGTTCGCAACTTCCTTGAAAACACTAACTGGCGGATCTTTTACTTGGTAACATGGTGGTTTCAGAGCCGAAGTTTTGTGGGTCGTGGACTCCGGGAAGGTCTGGTGGATAACATAAAGTATTCGCTCTTTTGGATCGTGGTTCTCTCCACGAAATTTTGTTTCAGTTACTTCTTGCAGATAAAACCGATGATTCAACCCACTAAAGATTTCTTGGATCTTAATGATGTGACTTACGAATGGCATCAATTTTTTGGTAACAGCAACAGATTTGCAGTCGGGCTTCTTTGGTTACCTGTTGTCTTGATTTATTTGATGGATTTGCAGATTTGGTACTCCATTTACTCTTCCATCGTGGGTATGGGAGTCGGGTTGTTTAACCATTTGGGTGAGATCCGAAATATGCAACAATTGAGGTTAAGATTTCAGTTTTTTGCTAGTGCGATGCAGTTTAATCTCATGCCCGAAGAACAGCTATTGAATACAAGAGGGACTCTTCAGAGTAAATTGAAAGATGGTGTTCATCGGTTGAAGCTGAGATATGGGTTTGGGAGACCGTTCAAGAAGCTTGAGTCGAACCAAGTGGAGGCCCACAAATTCGCGTTGGTGTGGAACGAGATTATTTTGACATTTAGAGAAGAAGATATAATTAGTGATCATGAAGTCGAGTTACTCGAATTGCCACAGAATACATGGAACGTTAGAGTTGTACGATGGCCGTGTTTGCTATTGTGTAACGAGTTACTTCTTGCTTTGAGCCAAGCGAAAGATTTGGTCGATGCTCCTGATAAGTGGCTTTGGTACAAAATGGCGAAAAACGAGTATAGACGTTGTGCGGTTATCGAGACTTACGATAGCGTCAAGCACTTGCTGCTCACAATCGTAAAGTTCAACACGCCTGAACACTCGATCATCTCGACTTTATTTCAAGAAATCGATAACTCAATCAACATTGAAAAGTTCACGAAGACGTTTAACACGGTTACGCTTCCCAAGATCCACGCGAAACTGATCATTCTTGTCGATCTTTTGATAAAACCGAACCAAGATGTCAACAAAGTGGTGAATACTCTACAGGCATTATATGAGGTTGTTATTCGGGATTTCTTTAAAGATAAGCGGAACATGGATCAGCTGAAAGAAGACGGTTTGGCTCCTCACCGGCCACTTCCGGGTGCTGGCCTTCTTTTCGAGAACGCCATTGAGTTGCCGGATTCCGGTAACGACAACTTCTATCGGCAGGCTCGGCGGCTGCACACCATCCTTACATCACGAGATGCGATGAACAATGTTCCCGTGAATCTTGAGGCTCGACGCCGGATTGCATTTTTTAGCAATTCGTTGTTTATGAACATGCCACATGCTCCCCAAGTCGAAAAGATGATGGCTTTTAGTGTTTTGACACCTTACTACAATGAAGAAGTAGTGTACAACAAAGAACAACTTAGAACCGAGAACGAAGATGGTGTTTCGACTCTTTATTATTTGCAGACCATCTATGCGGATGAATGGAAAAACTTCTTGCAGCGAATGAAACGTGAAGGGATGAAATCAGAAGGCGAATTATGGACGGTCAAACTCCGGGAGCTTCGGCTTTGGGCATCATATAGAGGTCAAACGCTGGCTCGAACGGTGAGGGGAATGATGTATTACTATCGGGCACTAAAGATGCTCGCTTTTCTCGATTCCGCTTCCGAGATCGACATTCGGGAAGGAGCACGGGAACTCATGTCGATGAAACGTGGCGGTGATTCACAGAACGAAGCGAAATCATCGGCAAGGGGCATAAGTCGAGCGGATAGTACGGTTAGCACTTTGTTCAAAGGTCATGAATACGGAACGGCTTTGATGAAATACACATATGTAGTTGCATGTCAGATATATGGGACTCAAAAGGCGAAAAAGGATCCACATGCAGAAGAGATTTTGTATTTGATGAAAAACAACGAAGCTCTTCGTGTTGCGTATGTTGATGAGGTGCCGGTACGGGACGGAACAGAGTATTATTCTGTTCTCGTGAAGTACGATCAGGATTTGGAAAGAGAAGTCGAGATTTATCGGGTGAAGTTGCCGGGTCCCTTGAAGCTCGGGGAGGGAAAACCTGAGAACCAGAATCATGCCATCATTTTCACTCGAGGAGATGCGGTTCAGACCATTGACATGAATCAAGACAACTATTTTGAGGAGGCACTCAAAATTCGGAACTTGCTTGAGGAATACCGGTCCTATTATGGTCTTCGTAAGCCGACCATTTTAGGAGTCCGGGAAAACATCTTTACGGGCTCGGTTTCTTCGCTTGCTTGGTTCATGTCGGCTCAAGAAACGAGCTTCGTGACATTGGGTCAACGTGTTTTAGCAAACCCTTTGAAAATCCGGTTGCATTATGGCCATCCGGATGTGTTTGACCGGTTCTGGTTCTTAACTCGTGGTGGGATTAGTAAAGCTTCTAGATTAATCAACTTAAGTGAAGACATTTTTGCAGGATTTAATTGCACATTACGAGGCGGAAACGTCACTCATCATGAATACATACAAGTAGGGAAAGGAAGGGATGTTGGGTTAAACCAAGTATCAATGTTCGAAGCAAAAGTTGCAAGCGGAAACGGGGAGCAAGTTCTTAGTCGAGATGTGTATCGATTGGGTCATAGACTCGATTTTTTCAGAATGCTTTCGTTTTACTTCACAACCGTTGGATTCTTTTTCAACACGTTGATGATTGCTTTGACCGTTTACGCGTTTTTGTGGGGCCGGTTGTATCTTGCGCTAAGTGGGATTGAGAGTTCCGTGGCGAATAATGTAAACACAAACCGAGCACTCGGGACGATCTTAAACCAGCAGTTCATCGTCCAACTTGGTCTTTTTACAGCTTTACCCATGATTGTCGAAAACTCTCTTGAACTCGGGTTTCTTGCAGCCATTTGGGATTTCATCACAATGCAGCTACAACTTTCGTCGGTTTTCTTTACCTTCTCTTTGGGCACTCGTGCTCATTATTTTGGTCGAACCATTCTTCACGGCGGAGCAAAATATCGGGCAACCGGGCGTGGTTTTGTTGTGCAACACAAGACTTTTGCAGATAATTATCGACTCTATGCTCGTAGCCATTTTGTGAAGGCGATTGAGCTCGGGCTGATACTCACGGTTTATGCTGGCTACAGCCCTGTTGCTAAAGGAACGTTTACGTATATTGCCTTGACTATCTCGAGTTGGTTTCTGGTGTTTTCGTGGATCATGGCACCATTCATATTCAATCCTTCTGGATTCGATTGGCTGAAAACGGTCTACGATTTTGATGATTTCATGAACTGGATATGGTTTCGAGGAGGTGTGTTTGCAAAATCCGAACAGAGCTGGGAAACATGGTGGTATGAAGAACAGGATCATCTGAGGACGACCGGCATTTGGGGGAAGTTGTTCGAGATCATCTTGGATTTACGGTTCTTCTTTTTCCAGTATGGGATCGTATACCAATTGGGTATTGCTGCAAATAGCAAAAGTATTGCCGTCTACTTACTATCTTGGATCTATGTGGCGGTGGCTCTTGGAATTTATTCGATTATAGCATATGCCCGCGATAGATATGCTGCTAAAGAACACATCTACTATCGGCTGGTTCAGTTTCTTGTTATCATTCTTGGATCGCTTATAATCGTCGCGCTGATAGAGTTCACACATTTCAAGTTTCTTGATCTGTTCACGAGTCTGTTGGCATTCATTCCAACCGGTTGGGGTTTCCTTTTGATTGCGCAAGTATTCCGGCCGGTTTTGCAGAAAACTTGGATATGGGGGACAGTTGTTTCTGTGGCTCGTACGTATGATATAATGTTTGGAGTGATTATCTTGACTCCAGTGGCGTTTTTGTCGTGGATGCCTGGTTTTCAGTCGATGCAAACGAGAATCTTGTTTAATGATGCATTTAGTCGGGGATTGCAGATATTCCAGATCATTGCCGGAAAAAAATCTAAAGCCGAATTGTGATTTGAGGTAAAGTTTTCACTTTTTTCTTCAGCCTTGTCTTATTTCTTTATGCTATGCTTTGATTATTTGTATATTACTATCACATGATTTTGTATCAATAGCTTGCCAAACAAAAGGGTTCTTAAGGGGAATAACCTTCAGGCAGATTTTCTTCTAAATGCAGGAACTTTGGACAAATTTTGAGGCATTGTTGTTTTTTCTGTTGGGCAAAGACTCGGGTCGGTTCTTGCACCTGTGGTGGTGGTCTAAATAGTTCATGTGGGTGTCAAAGATTCAGACTCTTTTCTTATTTCATTTGTTCTCATCAATACCGGTAAGTAATTGAAGTTGATCATGTTTGGATTTTTGGTATTTGCAGGTATGATGGTAGATAAAGCAGATGTCTTGTTAGACTTTGTAGTGCGCATGTATAGTAGCCAAGGTTCGTAGATGTTCCGTTTCAGTTTCTTGGATGAGGAAGGAGACTCGTTTATGATGCACAGGTGTGCTTCTATCTGTTCTTGCTATTACGATCATTTCCACTTTAATACTTCTTCGGTTTGTAATTAGCTATCCAAAAGTTACCGTATCTGCCCTTCCTGTCTCAAAGTTCTTTATCATAGTCTTCCTCTTATTTTATATTTTTTCTCAGAAATTTTTGGGCTATCGTTCTTTCTTTCGCACACTATTATTTGGGGTAGAGTTTAGGTCTGCATACATCTTACCTTTCGGATGGTTGGTTTGGTTTGGTTTATATCTTAATTTTTATTAAGCTCATATGGGTAGTTTTATTTTTCTGATACATAGACACAAAATGCAGCCTCATGGGCCGAGTCCAAAATGCGGAGCAATGTTGGTGGCCCTTGTTTTTTTGATACACATAGATACGACATGTCTTCTAGAAACAGTTCGTTCGACTCTTTTGGGTCTGTATATATTTTACCCCTCTGACCTGACGTTGCTTCCAAACGAGACATTGTGTGTTTAGTTTGGTTATATGACATGTTTTCAGGGGTATTTGTGTAATTTGGTTCTATGATAGGATTGCATTTTTTGCTTGATACAACACTTATCAAGGGATGTTTGGGTAATGGTTGCAACATATTTTGCAGGTTTTGAGTTGGAGATTGAGGAAGAGAGTAGTAGTAGATTGTAGATGATAATGTAGAGGTACCTGATTGATTGCTTTCTTTTGTGGATTCAGCAAATATATTTCTTGTTTTCTTTTTATCTTGAAACAACCTCTCTCTCTACCCCTACATCCTCATCCTACCCTCCGAGACGCTATTCATGTCATGTGTAGGATATTATATAATATATTGGGTTTGTTTGGTTGGTTTTCTCAATTTTGCAATGTTGGCGTATGCAGTCATCGTTTGTTGTAATATAACACCAGTTTCTTGATATCATCCAATCATTTACGTTTGCCAAATTTGACGTTGGATTTTACTTCTTTTAAGCTATTTCTTCTAGTTATAAAATCATTATCAATGAAGTACGACTGTAAACATCACCTTCAACCTACTTGGATACGGAGGATAGAACTCGATTGCAACACAACCAACAACAACAACGGTAACTCCATGAAACTGTTAAAACAGTTGTTCACATTCACATGTGAATATTGTTCACGTTCTCTAAAATATTTACTATTCCCCACGTCCAGATTACTAGGGAGTTACTGTTTCTTATCTTACAATTTAAACCACTACTTTTCACAAAAGTTGTGGGGTTGGGGGAGCCATCAGCTTCCAACACGAAACTGATCACAGTTAGTTGCACCACATTTACTCAAGCTTGAAACCAGACCATTAACCATTCTACCCACGTCTGCCTTGAACGTCTTTGACCCATCTTTCTTCTCACCTCCATTGACCATCAAACCTACTTCAAAACCCTCCATGTAAGCTCGGCACGCTGACAAAATTGCATGCGCACGGCTACGGAAATGTCCAACAACAAGATCCTCAAAGTGCTGCAATAAACATCATCACCTTACTTCAATCATCATGTTCAAACTAAATATATCTTTCTGATGAACAAATTTGGTACCAATTCGAATGGGATGCACAAGATGACAACATAAATAGGCCTAGTATGTGGGTGGAGTAAGATGTATACAAACATAGGCTTTATCCCAAAAAGTAGAGCTGAAAACCTCCAAATCCAATGTGAAAGAAATAAAGGCATATGTGAAAATATTGACAAACTATTTAAGAGTAAGGAATACCTTTGGGGGTCTCCCAAGTGTATACATCATTGTTTTCAAGGATAAAATGAAAGTGCGTTCATTATATATCTTGGATTTCTTCTCTCCCACAGCTCCAGGATACATATCATCATGCCCAGGCTCATTGAAAAACGGCTTATCGTTCAAAATCAGTGCCTGTATTGACAACAGGACTTGAAGCATGGTTGATCTATTTGGCACCCAATTCTCGTTTCCTATACCAGCCCAAGTATTGAGAAGGCTAAGGCAGACTTTTCCAGATTCATATAAGTTGGGGTTTAGCCGAAGGCCACGAGAGTAATAATAAACCATCTGAAACCCCCAAATCAAGCCAAAAGTCAAGAGTACGGTTTTATTAATATCGTAAATGAAAACAAACAAGTATAGATGGACATATACTGGGGGGCTGTCTGGGTAGGTTGGAGGAAGGTGCATATCAAAGACAAAAAGGCCATCATGATACGGAGTGCCTGCTGCTCCTACAACCACAGCTCTCAAAAGATCCATTCTTGTTTCATATGCCCTCACAAAGATGGTATCTGTAGTAACACAAAGTGAGGAACTGTTATACAATGAGAAGTACTATAATAGAAACAAAGGTCAAGTTGGTTCTATTTTCATGTATTTTTCCCTTTAAATATTCTACTAATAAGAGCATTCACGGTGGTTGGTTCTTGTTGCCAAGCTTTCGGGCCACATGGTGTTGTGAAAAAGCCAATGATAAAGAAAACCCGTTTTTGCTTGTGCGGTCACAAGCCAAGTTTTTTACGTGGGTCCCATCTTTTTTTAGCGAAGTTAAAAAGCTCCATCATTGTGGATACTCGAAATTTATAGTTCAGTTGTACTCGCCTGGTAAGTTGTTCTCTAGTATTTTCCACTCATCCTGAATTTTCTTTGTCCAGGTCTTTGGAGGCTACCACCAAAAAAAAAACATTTTAAATAAATGTAGCAACAAGGAAAGAAATCAAGTGTAAATTGTAATGGGTAACATTTAAAAAACGACCATTCAATGTTTACAGAAGTTACCCGTTGGCCTTGAAAACCAGCATCATTGAAATGATGATCAGCAAAATCATCAACAATATCAAATAGTTTGAAGTGATCAAACTTCATCTTCACCTCTTCTTCAGTTACATCTTCCTTTTCTGATGCAGAACTTGACATTATGTTTGGAAGGACCGACAAACTGCTAGAAGCAATGTCTTTACTTTTGCTAAAGGGTATATTCGGTATTTCATGATCGTGGGTTTCTACAGAGAGGGTTATAGGATCCATCAGGGATGAATTGCTCAGGCCAACAGTGGTACTTGTGGACGATGGAAGGTCGTTCAACCACGAAAAAGATGCTTCCACACCAGGGGGCAAATCAACATTATCAAATTGGGCTTGCATGCTCAAATAATGGGCTTCATCATCTTCTTTGAAATTCTCAAACATATAATCATCATCATCATCAAAATCAAAGGCATCATCAACCATGTCATCATCATCATCATTGCCATCACCATGGTTTGACATATCTGAGTCTAGAGATCCAGATGTGATAGCTTCACTAATAGGCTTCATAACATCCTGAGAGGATAAAACAGTATCATCTTGCAAAGTAGCATGATTGATTCACTTAATGGAAACAATTTACTAAATAAACAGTTAATGATCCATTACTGCATCTTAAATATTAGTAATAACACATTGATCAAGTACACAATTCAAGGAACGTGCTTGACTATTGATCAAAAGCCTTCAACACCCTTCAATAATGATAAAATAGGAGAATACAACATTCATCCGTTCTTGGTAATGACAACGGTGGTCAAACAAGAAATTCAAAGTTTAAAAGTTGTCATATAAAGAAAATGTTGCAACTATAATGAGACATCCCAAAATGCAACGTTGTTATCATGTAACATTGGTCAAGGATCCTTAGGGCTATATGCCTATATGCAACAAGAAGAATCCATGGATTTTTACAAAACCTATTTATCAGCTTGTGGTAGCATCAGCTTGAATATGGAATTAGCTTTCATTCGAAAAAGTAGTAGTGGATCTGAAAGCAAATAAACATGAATCAAAGGTTTGATAACTCCATTTTAAACAACAAAATATAACCTCTGTTTTCTATAACCATCTATACAGTTTGCTTACAAATGAGCAGTAGTAATACGAACACACTATTGAAATTTGCAAAAGCATCAAATTAAGGCCCACATGAACATATATTTATATCATTTTCATAATTTGATCCAATTGTCCCTCGTTTGCTATAGTTTACTGTAACCGAAAGATAGCGATCGGACACCACATAAAAAATGATCAAAGAATCATACAACAAATAGACGACAATCGAAGAAACACATAACGATTTAACATGCATTAATTAAGCGAAAAAGGAATTAAATTATAAAATCACTCATCAGTAGCGATACCTTGTCGTGTTTAACCTTGTTTCCGATTGAACCCTCAGACTCCAGCATGTTGATTTCAACTTCCATGGCGGATTGGCGGCACTCAGTTGATCAAATCAGAACAAATATAAACCCTAAAAACTTGTGAACACAAAACGAAAAGGGAACTTGAAGATGAATTGAACTCGATCAATTCAAAATCGGAAGGAGAGAGAATCCAGTTGGATCATAGTCACGAAGCTACAGTCTAAAGAGAGAAAGCAACGGCGCGAGTGTGTAGGTAGTGTGGAGGGATTGGTTCTCCTATTCCCGCCTTAGTAGACATCGTCGCTAACTTACGCAGGAAGCCAATGATACTACTTTTTTTTATATATATATATTTTTTAAAATAAACAAATTTTTATTAGATTATAAAGAAAAAAACACAATATAATATTTGAGAGCTCACCAGACTTTACGTTGTGTTCTCAAAATATTTTTTACAAACGAAAGGAAATGAAAGAAAAGTAAAAAAACTGGTGTTCTAACCATAAAGGTGATGTCTGATTGGTGTGAGCTTGATTTCAGAGGTTAAAAGTACCAAGAGGTCTCAGGTTTAAATTCAAGGAGGAATAAAAATCCCCTTGTGGCTACGGATGTTCAAATGCGATGACTCCGGGTTATCTGCAAAGCAGGTGGTTGTCCTGGGATTAATCGGCTCGCATAGCTGGATCAGAATCCAATCTTCGATAAACTTCATAAATATTAATTAAAACAATATAATTTTAGTTAAAAAATATTAAACTTTCAAAGGATTTTTACAAAAAAAAATCATTAAATATATAAAATAACAATTTAAGAAAAATTAAAAAGCTTTCAGAAACGGTGGATTTCGGGGAAATTGCACAAGAATTTCAAAGACGGTGGTTTGAGTCTAAAATTTGGGAAATTTGGGGAAGTTTCAATTTAGTAAATAAACACATTAAACTTTTATGATTATTTATTTAATTTAATTTATTTTTTATTATATTAATATACATAATCATAAATTAATTAAAATATAAAAAAAAATATGTTTCTTTTTTTATAAATTACATAATTATAATCATCTCATCAATATTTTTGTAATGAGTTTAATATAAAATATTTTTTAATTTAATCTTATATTATTAAATATTATAAAATTTAGGTATTATTTTAGTAATTACATTTTATATTTTTATAATTACAGATCAAATAAATAAACATAAAGGTAGAAAATATGAGTTTTAAAAATAATTCGTAGTATTTAATACTATAAGATTAAATCCAAAAATATTTAATATTGAATTCATTTTGAACGTATTGACGAGACGATTATAATGACGTAATTTGTAAAAAAAGAAGTGTATCTTTTTATGTGTTTTAATTAATATACGATTATGTATGTTAATATAATAAAAATGTAAAATAAAAAATGAAAAAGTAAAAGATACAAAATAAATTAAATAACTGATTAAATTGTTTTTTTTATATAATTTCCTCTAAAATTATAAAAATTTCGTAGAATTTTCCAGTGAGAAAAGATCGAAGGTGTGTTATTTCTGGTCAACAAAGTCTTTTCTAAGTCAAGAAAAGTTCCAAGGAAGTTTCTTCCATTTCGAATGAAAAATTCCTTCAATATTTCTTTTTAAATATTTAAGTCTTTAATATTTTTTAATAAATAAATTATTGAATTTTTTAAAAATTGGTTATCTACCTTGTTTTCATCTAATTAAGTTATTTGTGTCCGACTAAAAAGATTTAAAAAAAAAAAACATAAATCAATTTCACGTTTTCAAACCCGACGTAATTCAGACTTCTCGCCTCCAATGTCATCATTCCCCCTCCCCACGCCATCACCGTACGCTATCTATCACGCCATGCCATCGAACTTAGGGGTGTGTAAAACCTGAATGGTCCGAAATTCGTACCTGAACCAAAAATAAGGTGTTAATGATGCCTCGAAATTCGAAAATCCAAAAACTGAATTTTAGGAGATTGTAATGGTATTTTAAAAATATGATTTATTTCTAATAATTTTTAAAATATATTAAAAAAACACTTGCTTTATGAAAACACAATAGATGAATAGTCATTCGACGAAAAATCATTTATTTGAATATCTTTATTTCCTATCAGAATAAACATATAAATACAATCACTAGGATTATCTATAATATCTTATTAAGCAAATTTAGTAAACGTCTTAAAATTCTAAATGACCAAAATACCCTTTATACTTACTTTTTCATCCCCTCCTCTCCTCACATACACTCACCCCCTCACATACACTCATCCTCTCACACAACCAATTTTTTTAAAATTGTAATTTTAAGGGGGTTGATATCCCCACCCCCTTACATCACTTTTCACCCCCTCCTCCTCACACCAACCCTCACTCACACCCTCACAACTTTTCCTCACTCTCACCCTCACATACTCACCCCCCTACACAATCACATCCCCCTCACATGCATTTATAGGAGGGGGTGGAGTTAGAAAAACCCAATTTTAAATGGGGTTTTCTAACCCCACCCCCTCCTACAATTTTATACACCCCCCTATAGTAAAAGACAAAAAAAACAACTAAATGACAAAATTTAATATTTTCATTTTTAACATTTTTATATTTTAACTTTTAACCCTAACCTTTTTATATTTTAACTTTTAACCTTTTACTTTTTTAACATGTTTTATATTATTATTAATTAATTAAATATTAATAATACATATTTCAAATATAAATTAAATTTATTAATTAAAACTTTGATTTTTCATGTTAAATCAACATATTCACGAGTAAGAGTACGCTCTATATAATAATAAAATATTAATAATACATATTTCAAATATAAATTAAATTTATTAATTAAAACTTTGATTTCTCATGTTAAATCAACATATTCACGAGTAAGAGTACGCTCTATATATTCTTCATATGCATTGAATCTATGTTGATACGAGACAATCCATGTACTTGCATCTTCAAAACGGTAACATGTCCAATGGTGCGTAAGTGTGGACATTGGATATTCTCCATTTAATACCACCTTTATGTAATGGTTACCATTAACATGCACTATTGCAATTGCCACGTGTTGAGATGACGACAGAGGTTGTGTCCTAAACGATAAGTATGTCACACTGCCTGCCATATTGAGAACATGCAGTATGACATTGAACCTTGAAGCCGTTAGAATGCTCATTTCAAGCATAACAATCCAATGCGCAACTGGTGCAAAGACGCCCTGTTGGAAAAATTTAGCGCTTCGTGAATGCGTAAGCACTCATCGCCAATCACATGGGAGTAATATTGTTCATACTAAGTTAATTCAATCATTAACTCTTTGCGGATATTATCCCATTCGTCTTCATGACCACCCAGACAAGTAGATATCGCTCGAAATCCACAATTTCCATCGCCTAATACATCTTGTATTTGTATGATGTATGGATGAAATAAACTCGGGATTTGATCAAGATACGGATGTCGGGTGGTGGGTTGTCGTTGGAAATAGGAACTATGCCTCGTTGATTCTTGATGCCTCAAATCTTCAGAGTTAATAATTGATGGCACGTTAGAACAACTACGTCTACGGTATTCAATAATTCTTTTATTCAAAGCTTGACTCTTTGTAGATGGACGGCCACGAATGGTTCTATGAACCGAGGGTTCATCGAACGGTTTTGATGGCATTATTATATCCTTCAAGTAATTGCAACCATAATTGACAAAAAGTACCCCATGAGTGCGACTCGTGAATCGATGGTCTACAATGTTTCAAAATATTTTTAAAGATGTGCCATCTACAGAGTAAATGTTTAGCACCCGGAAATACCACTCTGCATGCTTTAATCAATGCCAACTCTCTGTCTGTGACTATGACAGCTGGGTAAAAGTTATCGCATATTTTGGACTTTAGACAATCTAACGCCCAAGTATAATTTGATATCTTTTCTTGATGCATGAAAACAAATGCTATGCAAAATGTCAGGTTGGTCGATGTTACACCAACTATCTCAAGAAGAGGCATGTCGTATCTGAATAATAAATTAACAAAATAATGATGTTAAAGAAAATAATAATGTTAAAAAATAATAATATTGACATTAACATAATAGACATGCATTTTAAGGTACCTATTTGTTTTATATGTGGCATCGATGACTAACACTTGTGGGAACGCACGCC